ACTTTCTCAAAATAAACCCCAAACTCCTTAGTGTGACATTCACAACCTCCATGTGGCGTGGCTCTCACCACAGTTTCAGCCTCATTACACCTGAGCCCCACAGAGCTGAATCCCTGAGTGGGCAGCTTTCTCTCTACCACTGGACCTTTGCACCTGCTGCTCCCTCTGCCTAGGAGTCCCTGTGCCTACTCTTTGCCACCTGGTAAGCACCTCTCCTCTCCTAAGGTTCATTTCAAGTGGCCCCACTGTGGACCTTCCTATCCCACTCCCTCCAGGCCCCTACTTTGTGCCTACATTGTGGGTCTAAAGATAACCATCCTCTTTACTGATGATGGTCCTCCCTACTGCCCTGATCTGTTATGTACTTGATTTAGATTTGTTTCTGCCCCTATCAACCACGAACTATTTAAGGCCTAGGGCTGGGTTGCCAACTGTCATTTTTCACGCCTTTCAAGTGGGGTTATCTTGTTCATCTTGTAGTGCTATTGGGAGAAACAAATACTGTGTTGGCTTTGGGATGTTAAAACTGAGTTCAGAAAGAGAAGCCTCAAGGTCACACTGCCAGTAAATGGCAGAGGGGGGCTTTGAACGTGGTTCTGGCCAACTCCCAAGCCTGTACACACTCCCTTGTTCCATTCAGGGATGGGGAATGCTAGAAGGCAATGCTTTGTACCTAGAGGAACACAGAGTAGAGTTCTGACCACCCCACAATTGATGTGCATTTTACAGACAAGGATGTGGAGGCCCAGAGAAGTGAAATGGCTTACCTGAGGTCACATAACTAATTCATGACAGATGTGGCTTTGGAATTTATCTCCCCAACTCTGTTCATCTTCTTTCCCTGCCTCTGTGTCTGTCCCTTGAAACACATCTTTCCTTGAGGCAACATAAGACAGGCATCTCTACCCCATTATCAATAAAGGAATGAGGCACAGTCTTGCATGCAGGTCTCTCAGTCACGTGGGGCAGCCCAGATCACAGTCCCACAGGGTGCAGCTGGGGGTTTCTCCCCCAATCACAACTATCAGCTTGGTCCCTTCCCCAGCCCACTTTGTTCTGGGGCTGGCAGGTGGGTCTGAGGCATGGAAGGATGCTGGCTGTGATCCCTTTGGTTCTGTTAACTCTTCCCCGTTAACTGGCTCAGTGACCTTGAGCAGGGCACAGGCATGTGAGGCCTGGTCATCCCCATCTGGCTGGGAGCATGGTTCTCACTGCCGAGCTGTTGATGCACCTGCTGCTGGAAGTAGACTAAAGTTGTGTTGTCGCAGAGCTCTTNCTTTGGTTCTGTTAACTCTTCCCCGTTAACTGGCTCAGTGACCTTGAGCAGGGCACAGGCAAGTGAGGCCTGG